TTGAGAGACATTCAAAGATAGTTTTGGTAATGCAAGTTAGAATAGAAAGTGAATTAGGTACAACCTTTTGAGCTCATCAAGATAGAATAGATATGGAATATTTTCTCTGAATTTGCCAAATGCTAATGGATGTTGATGTATTTATTACCCGTATATATTGTATATAGTTATTGTACTTATTGTATATAGTTTATCTTTTATTAATTATAACCTTATTTTGTTTTCTGATTTTTTTTGAGACAGGGTTTCTCTGTTGCTTTGGAACTTGTTCTGTAGACCAGGCTGGCCAAAAACTGAGAGGTCCAGCAGCTTCTGCCTCCTGAGTGCTGGGGTTAAAGGCGTGCACCCCCACGCCTGGCTCTTCTTTTTTTAATTATTATTTCAGACAAAAAAGGAAAATGTGGTAATAATTTGTTTATGATCTAACAATGAAGCTTATCTGAAGATCAGAGTGCAGAGCTAAGCCTCTAGTTAGCCACAGACACCAGGCAGTGGTGGTATAAACCTTTAATCCCAGCACTTGGGAGACAGTGGCAGATCTCTGTGAGTTCAAGGCCACCCTGGCCTACACGATTGAATCTGTCTAAAATGGAAACAGAGCTCATGCAAAGGTGATCCTAGCAGTTGGGATCCCACGCCTTTAACCCCAGCAGTAGGGAGGTGGAGACAGGAGTGATGTGGCTGGAGAGAGAAAGGACTATAAGTTCGGAGGAGACAGGAGCTCACTGTAGTCTGAGTACAGTTAGTCTGAGGATGCAGTCTGGGGACAGGATCCCCCCTTTGGTCTGAGCATTGGGAAAGGTAAGGACTCTGGTGGCTGGTCACTCTGCTTCCCTGATCCTTCAGCTTTCTCTTCCTGATAGCTGACTCCTGATAGTTTTCATTATTAAGACCAATTAGAATTCGTGCCACATAGGTTAGTGCTCAAAGCAAATTGAAAGTTCAGGGACACTGGGATTGGTGACCCTCGCCTTTAGTCCCAGCAGTGGCAGGCAGATCTCTGTGAGTCTGAGGCCAGTGTGGTCTGCAGAGTTAGTTTTAGGACAGCTGAGACTGTTACATAAAGAAATGCTGTCTCAAAAAAACAAAAAACAAAAAAAACCCCAACAACAACAACAAAATTAAAACAACCAGAAAATTCGATCTGTGGCTGTTTGAAGCACTCAGCCTATAGTACTCCAATGTGTTGTCACAGTAACACTCATATTAAATTTCTTATTAAACATGTATTCATTTTTGCAGCACTGGGGATCAGACCCCTGATGTCTTTCACGTCAGGTCACACTTTACAACCCAGCTGTATCTCCATCCTCCATCCTCACTCATTCCCATTATAAAAACAAGAGAGCTGAGGGACGGAAAAGTTCAATCATTTGCTTAAGGGAGAATAAGTAGAAACCTTTCCCTAGACTTTCCTTGTGGGTAAAAACAGGTTGGATCACATTGGAGCATGAAACAAAAGGGCGCATATGTGCACTCTTATGCAAATATTCGCCAGGTCCTGAAGTGAATGGAAAAAGTGGATAAAAGCCCTGCAACCAAAAATAATAAAAAGCAGAGTTGCCCAATGTCTCTGAAAACTACCGTCAGTTCCCATGCAGCCACTGCGTGACAGCCTGGCTGGGAACTGAGTGTCTGTTACAAAATAAATAAATAAATAAATAAATTTTCGAATTTTGCTGTCTCCGATTGTTGGCATCTGTTTTGATACTGACCCTAAAAAGATGTTATCCGTTTTAATGGCTGAGTTTTTTGTAAGTTTTGTCCTCTGTTAAGATTTCTTCATTCATTATATTTTATTGATTATGTATGTACTGTGTGTGTGCGCGTGTGTGTGTGTGTGTGTGTGTGTGTGTGAGTGTGTGTGTCTGTGTGTCCATGCTGATGTCAAGGATGTGTATGAGGATCAGAGGACAACTTGCAGGAGTCAGTTTTCTCCTTCCATCCTATTGGTTCCGGGGGTCAAACTGCAGCGCTCAATCTTGGTAACAAGTGCCTTTATTTACCCACTGAGCCATCTCACCAGCCCCATTCCTATCATCTTAATCTGGGCCCTGGATGAAACCAAGCCTTTGCCTGACTGACACTAGGGATGTTCCTCAGTGCCGACCTCCTCTAAACAGGACCCATAATGCTATGGTATGGTGGCCACATCTGTAATCCAGTACTCAGGAGGCCGAAGCAAGAGAATCTGGAATCTGAGGCCTGAATGAGCTACAAAAAGAGACCCTGGCTCAAAACAAAGAGCCAAGGCCCCTTTTTGTTGTAGTTACTGTTTCCTGCACCATTCTGAGTCCCCATTTCTGGTGAAGTTTCTCATGGCCCACATGACTAGGGGAGTGCCCATCTTCTCATCAGAAACCCTGAATCAAAAATCTGTGGCAATGGAAACACTTCCATTGTGAGGTGAGCACCAGTGCACGCCTGCAAAACTGTTTGGAGTCAGCTGACATCCTCCACCCAGCCTCAATCTCATCTGACCCAGAAGCCACAAGTTCCCGATTCCTGCAGTGGGTACCCATCTGAGCTGGTGGCATCAGAATTCCCAGGTCCTTTAACCTTGGATATGCTGAGGGTCTGGCTTTTCTAGAGCTAAGAGTGGATGAGAGGAGCCCCTGCATCTGAAGGCCAGCCTTCTGGTTTAAGAGCCTGCATTGTCCTCCCAGCCACACAGTAGGCTGAGACTTCGAAGCAACACCTTTTGCTGCTAATTTCTTTTGTGTGATTTTGCTCTCACGTGTCTACCTCTTTTATCTCTCTGTCTCTCTTCATATCCCCCGGACTTCAAGCAAAGCAGAGAATCCACCCTTAAAAACATTCTTTCGTTACTTTAGTACAGAGGGACAAGGAAGAGCTATAGCCTGGGATGAAGAAGAATAGAAACCAAGTTCCCTTTCTCCTTACAAAAAGGATTCCATGCATCCCAGCTAGAGCTTCCCTCTTGGAACATTTTTCAATGTTTTTGTTCGTTTTTGATGTATGATTGTTTTGCTTGGGTGTATGTGTACTAGGCGTGCACCAGGTTCATGCTTGGTACCCTCAGAGTCAGAGAAGGAAGGGCAGCAGATCCTCTGAAACTGGAGTGGTACATGGTTGTGAGATGCCATGTGGATGCTAGGACGTGTACCCTGGTCCTCTGCAAAAGCAGCCAGAGCTTTTAACCACTGAGCCACATCTCCAGTCTCCTTCAACTCCTCCCCACCTAAAACTTTTACAGAAGAGAAATTTAACTTAGAATGTCAGCTTTGAAGTGAGAAAAGTCAGGAAAACTTGCTGCCTAGGCATCCCTCCTGACATTTCTGGACAAGAACACAAACAACTCCTCTATGGAGGGGTTTCTCCAGAGCCTAATGGAGGGAGCTCGGCCTGGTGGTACATATCTATTGTCCCAGCAGTAAGTGGCTGAGTCAGGAGGACAGAAGTTCCAGGCTAGCCTGAACTACAGAGTAAAACCCTATCTTGAAACAACAAACAGATGGACAAGTAAGAGCTGGGCACACAGTAGCTCAGAGGTAGAGCACTTGCTTAGCATGCTTACTGGCCTGATGTCCAGCAGTGAAGAGGAGGGAAAAGAGCCTCGTCGATCCCTACTATCATTTCTGCCCTTTCCAACCCAACTCCCAAGATGCAACTAGTGAGACCTTCTAAAAATGCAAATTTAACACCAGGAGGAAATGAGTCAACACTGAATTACAGGCACTCTATTAAGGATACAGAATGCCTATTCCTAAGTACAAGGCATGCTATTTCCCTGCTTATGGACCCTCCGAGAGGCAAACAAAAGCTTCATTGCCTGCCCACACCTTCTCTTCCCACAGTGGCTAACTTGCTATTTATTTGTTTGTTTTTCGAGACAAGAGTTTCTCGGTATAGCCTTGGCGGTCCTGGAACTCACTCGGTAGACCAGGCTGACTTCGAACTCACAGACATTTTCCTGCTTCTGCCTCCAGAGTGCTGGGATTAAAGGAATGAGCAACCACTACCCGGCTTCCTTGCTCTTTATAGCGAATCTCCAGGCCTCACTTCATCTTTCTGGAGAAAAGTTCTATCGTGGCTGCAGCAAACTTCCTTCTTTCTACCTTTGTTCTTCCCAGATCCATTCTTTTTTTTTTTTTTTTTAAGATTTATTTATTATGTGCGCAGTATCCTGTCTGCATGCACGCCTGTATGCCAGAAGAGGGCACCAGATCTCATTATAGATGGTTGTGAGCCTGCGTGTGGTTGCTGGGAATTGAACTCAGGACCTCTGCAAGAGCACCCAGTGCTCTTAACCCCTGTGCCATCTCTCCAGCCCCCAGATCCATTCTTACTCGTTCTAAAAACTAAAGTGCCTTCCTTTCACCGGTTATGTTCCTTCTCGTGACTTCCAGGCCCTCCCAAACACGCCTCTTTACCCTCTTCCAGCTTCACATGATCATGATCGTAATCACATTCTAAGTGGTGGTTCAGCGCTAGCCTCCTTTGCTAGGCTGTTAACTACTGCAAGGCAAGGGTCGCAGTGACAGATGCCAAAGAGTAATTAACTTTTAAGTACTTCCTCCTTCAGGTAACAGGCCCAAACTCACACAGTCGCAACAAGATTTTAAATTCATTCTGAACTCAGACCCAGGTGGGCTAGGAGATGAGGTGGGGTTTAGAAGCAGCAGATTACGAGAATCTTAACAGCAAAACTCGATACCACGCGCGCAGTACTCGGCCCAGAAAAAACAAAAAAACAAAAAACGGGGTTAGAGAATCATTTGTCACGTGTACCCAACAGGGCCAGCAGCCTCCGCCCGGTGGCAGGAATGTGACCCGGCCCCGCTTGCGTGCGTGCGGGCAAAACCGAGCCAGCCCCCGGGACTGACGTCAATCAAGGGACGCCTCCGGGAGAGGGGAGGGCTGGGCTTGCTGGGGGCGGGGGCGGAGGAGGACACGCTCCTCACCGATACGGTGCGGTTGATTGGATTCAAAGAATCTCCGCAGGCTGGCACGGAGAGGGGCGGGATTAGACACGCCCTTCCCCCTCGACAGCGGCTGATTGGCCCGCGGAGTCTCCGCGTTCGATTTGGGAGGGTTGGCTCAGCTGCTCGCTGCAAGGCTGTGGCCGAGGATTGGCTGTTGAGGGGCTCAGAGCACTTTCTCCGGGGAACTGTGGCTGCGATCCAGGTGGCTCGGCCAGGATCCCCGCTGCGTTCTGCCCACCTCGGGCACCCAAGGCAACCAGGTAAGTAGGCCGTGGTCCGGCTCAGCTCTGCGCGGGAGCGCACGGGAGGTCGGTCGTAGCTAAGAATCCGCCAGATCGCACACCCTAGATCCATTTAAGGGCCTCTTGTTCTGCTAGCGGCCACTTTTGATCCCTGGGGCCGACTGTACTGGGGATGGCGCCCTATACCTTCTGACAAGATGCCCTCTCCCAAGCTCTTGGCCAGCCAAGTCACCTCCGCTTGGCCCTTCAGGTGATCACCTTCAGGTCAGGAAGCCCTTTCGAAAAGCCAGAGAGAGGTTGGAGTGGGCGTCTTAGTTGCCGGATCCCTATTTAGGGTCTTTTGGAATTGGCTATATGTTGACGCTGATCTAACTCCCCATGGAATTCTGCTTTAGCTCCCCTCGCTCTAACTCCTGAGCAGAGGAGTGCTGGCATGTGAGAATCCTGACTGTGGATCGGTGGCGACCTCCCAAACCCCCATACGTAGATGGCAGGCTCTCAGAGGGTCAGAACCTTCTGTCCCCTTGGTTTTTTTTTTTTTTTTTTTTTGAATACCTTCTCAGCCTTCTGGCAAGAATGAAAGTAACACTGATTGAGAGCATAGGCACTCGACTCAGACCACCGAGTTAATCGCCTAAGATCACCTGCCAGCCGTGGGTGTTGAGCAAGTTACTACTTACAGCCTTTTCATCTGGAAAATGAGCTTGCCAATAGTGCCACTAACAAGGGACATTAGGATGCCACCTCACATGAGGACCAAAAAGCCCTCTAAAAGTGCTGTTATGTGCTTGACACGGCAAGAGGCTTTCTTCTAAGAAGCTAGTCATAAGACCACGTTTTTAAAAGGGCCACAGACGACCTTGTCTCTGAAGCCTCCCTGGGTAGAGTTTGTCAGTGATGATGACCATGGTTCTATATAGTCCTGCTAATAGCCTTCCCTTGGCATCATGCTTCATTCATGCAGTGTGGAGAGTGTAGGATGCCAGGTACTAGGATGGGTACTTTCATATTTCATCTCTGTACCTGGCAAGGATTTTTGTCCCTCACCGTTTCGATGAACAAAACCAACCAAAGGAAAAGAGACTTGTCAACTCAGTGATCAGTGCCCTGCCAGGAACTTAGGGGTTTGAATTCTTTCAAAGGGAGTTATACCTCGATCTACTAGCTTATTTTTCATGTTATGCCTGAAAATGGATCTGGAATAAGGACCCGGTTTTCTTTCTCACTTCTGGGGTATAGATTTGGAAAGCCAGCAGGATATGGGACACAGAGTCATTTGAATGTGGCTTCCCACTTGAGGAGCAACAGATTTTGGCTGTTGTCCAGAGATATATCTGCAGAGTAACAGGCTAGGGCCACAGTGTTCAGTTGAGCTATCCCCTCTGGGTGTGTTAGAGTGTTGCCATCACCAGGGTTATTCAAAGGTAGCAACCTGAAGAAGGAGCAGGAACTGGTACCCCACCTCCGCGTGCTCTGACTCCAGCATTACCTATGTATCCCTGCAAGGGCATGGTAGGATGGAGAAATTATGGAATTGCGGTGGCACTAATGTCACATGCCACATTGTGCCATCTGTGCTGTAGGTGCTCTTGCTGGTGAGGCATAAGGCATGTCTTAAATCGTTAAGAAGTTTACAGTTCTTCCTTAAGGCCTGACTCAAAAATAAGTTGAACTTTGTCATCCTCAACATTCAGTATATCCTTTGGGGGTTCATTCTTAACCTACTGTGTCCAACTGAAGTGTTTTGTAACTAGTCCTTACTCGTCTGCACACAGACCCTTGCTTATCTTCTATGGCAGCTCTAGAATGAAAGCTCCAACTGTAATCTTTTAATAGCCCCGTGCTTTCGTTTTACAAAGTACCACTGTTCAGGTATATACTTGAGCTTCCTGGAGTAAGGTTTTACCCCTGAAATTGAGAGAGGAATGATTGAAGACAGTGGATGAGACAGAAAGTCATTTCCCACAGTGTTCTGAGCCCACTTCAAAGTCAGTTTTCCTCCCTGGTGGTGACACACACACCTTTGATCCCAGCACTCGGGGAAGTAGAGGCAGGCCTGGTCTACAGAGCTAGTGTCAGGATAGGGTCCAAAGCTCAAAGAGAAACCCTGTCTCAAAAGAAAGTCAGTTTTCCTAGTATTTACCATCTCACCCTACTTGAAATCCTAGCTTCACTCTGCCGCCTGGATTCCAGGGTGAGGCTCCCACAAGTGAAGGGCCTCAAAACCTGGAGGCACCAAGGCTTCCCAAAGTTCATATGGGGTGGTTGAGGTTGGACCCTGGATTGCACAGTTTCTTTCCTTGCAACTCACCGGAGGCTGGCTAGTGAAAGCCTCCAGCCCTTTGGAGGATGCTGGAACTAAGGTGGGCAGTCAGGCCTCAGGCCATTGCCTCCTGCTGACAGCTGCTATGTGACGATGCCATTGCTGATTCTGAAAGAGGAGCATCACCCCTCTCCACCACCCGATCAGTCTACCAAGGGCTTGAGCTCTTGACAGTATCCTCAGACTTGTGCCAGATTCTGACCCTTCCACGCCCTGTAGCAAAACAGGGGTGGGGAGAACTGTAACTGCTAGTTGAGGTGCTTTCTGGAACCTAATTAGTTAGACATGTCCACACAAGCAGCTCCCAGCCAACAAGGAGCAGGCAAGCACTTGTTACCCTTCAGCAGACCCATCCTTGTCATGGTATCCCTGACTCAACACTAGCGCAGACAGACCCTGAGGCCATCTGCCTCAACCTGCTCCCACAATGGCAGTCAATGGGCCGGGAGGTGATGGGGATTCCTATCAACCAGAGAATGGCAGAGCCAGGGACAGAACCCTGACACCTCTGAGTCTCATGTCCCTCTGTGCACTGGGCTCAGCTGCAGTCCTAGAGTTCTGTGTGAAAACTGGAAATTTTCTTCGGAGAACACCACTAGTTCAAGACTGAGGATGCTATCACCTAGTCATGTGACTGGACACATCTCCACCTTGTGGGATAAGGAGGGACGTCCTTCACTCCCCATGGAAACAGGAGGAAGTAGGCTGAGTTTAAACTGTGGGGCCGAGGTCAAAGGACAGGGCCCCAGCCCTTGCTTCCCCTGCAGTGGGACAGTGATAAGTGTCTGTTGTCTAGAGCTATTTTGAGGATTAATGATGTCACAAAGAGTATACACGCACGCTTGCCTTCTTTCTCGTTAGCCTGGGAAGTGTGCCTTGGTCACTTAGCTTTTGTTTTCTGCATGTGGATCCACCAGTTCCTGGGGGTTAATTACCACACAGGTTTTTAACTGGGTTCTACAATGGTGCCTGAGAGACAGTTTTCTTATTCCTATTTTCCAGCTAAAAATACAGATTTATGATTTTATCTGGATGCCTTCTATGGATTTATCTTAGGTATTAAGTCTTGAAAAGAAAGTGGGATTCTTAGGCTAGAAACTAGGGCAGTGTGATTGTGGAAACAACTAGAACAACGTGTTGAGGTGGACCAGGCGCGAGCAAGGGAGGGGGTAACAGTTCTGAATAGGGTGGAGTGCTGACTCAGAACCTTCCAGAATGTAGTCCATTCTGTTCTTATACTCAATAGCTGAGGATAAGTTTGTAGCTTTTCCTCTGTCAGTTTATTTGTATCCGTGTTTGACTGCATGTATATAGGTTTCATGTATGTGCCTGGTGCCTGCAGAAGCCAGCATTTGCCTGAGACTGAACTTGCAGATGGTTGTGAGCCACCATGTGGGTGCCACGAACTGAACTTGGTCCTCTCCAGTCCTGACTTTGAACTTTTGATCCTCCTGCCTCCGTCTCCCAAGTGCTGGGATTACAGACATGCATTACCATAGCTAGTTTATGTGGTGCTAGAGCCAGTGTTTCATGCACGCTATGCAAGCACTCTACTGAATAAATGAGCTACATTCCTACCCCCACTCCACTCTGCCTTTTATAGCAAATGTGCACCTTCCTTTCTATGAATGTGTTTTAATTTCCCCTTGCACATTTTGTGGCCAGCTGCTGGTTGATAGCACATCATCTGTTGATGGCTACAAGAGTGCTTATGTCTGCACCTTCTATCCTCAGAGCGCCCGTGATGGGGACCCCAGCCTCTGTTGTGAGTGAGCCACCCCTGTGGCAGGTTTCAACTGAGGCCCGGGGGCGAAAGCAGGCCTCTGCTAACATCTTCCAGGATGCGGAGCTGGTGCAGATCCAGGGCCTGTTCCAGCGCAGTGGGGACCAGCTCGCTGAAGAGCGGGCCCAGATCATCTGGGAATGTGCGGGGGATCACCGTGTGGCTGAGGCCCTAAGAAGGCTGCGCAGGAAAAGGCCCCCGAGGCAGAACCACTGTGGCCGGCTGAGGTAGGAGCCTGGGACTGGAGGGCTGAAGGAAGAGATGGAGGGCATGCCTGGCCCACTGCTCTGGCTCTGTGACCTTGAACCAGGGATTTGCCCTTACTGTAAGGTGCCTACTGTTCATGTTATATTGCTGTGGCACCTAAGACTATTGGAGTCACATGACCCTGTGATCCTCACGGGAAAGCCCAGTCGAAGCAGAGCTACCAAATTCTGTAACTCTTGGCCAGCAGAAGGGAGTGTTGTTGGAAGGACAAAAAATTACCGGTAGTAGAATGGGTTACATTCTAAAGCAAGCCCGGTTAAAGCCTGCTGGGGGACTACAGAGAAGAGCAGTTATTGTGGAGATCTAATGGGGACAAGCAATAGTTTCTCTGGCCATCTACCTCTGCCCATGTCACTGCCAGCCCAGGAGTGGGCCCCAGGGGATCTAGGTAAAGAAGCCATCACTGTATGTTTCCCTCTAGGATTCTCCCCTCAGTCTGAACAGCAGAGACCAAACAGGTCCTCGGTCTGAGATGGCCAGCTAGTCTTCACTGCTTGCATTGACTGATGTCATTTATGCCTGACTGATGATGCCATGGATGATAGATAGTAAAAGGTCAGGAGACTTGCTGAGTGTTCCATTCCCTGATCAAGCCCCACCCTCTTAACATACAGTTGGAAAGAGTTAATGCTTTACCTTGTCGTACGGTTCTTGGTACTCTTTCATAGTGATAAAACTTACAAGGCTCCATCCTGCTCTCCCGTGTTGATGTTGGCTTATCACACTCTTCTTCCCAACAGAGCGCCAGAGCCTGGTTCTACAGCGGCCGACCCACAGGACAGCACTGCTGACATGGCTTCCAGTGAGCAGTTTGGGAACTCCCGGAGGACAAGTGCCAGAGTCCACCGAAGCTGGAATAAGCCGGGTCCCACAGGTTACCTCCGCCAGATCAGACACTGACCCAGTGAAGGGGTGGGGAGGCCCTCCCCCCTCAGATATTACAGGGACTTTGCCAAAGGGCTATGGAGTTGCAGGGAGGCCATAGGACTGCCATCCTCAGTTCAGAGCAGAGCCGGCATTCACTGGACTCTGCACCCTGTGGAGCCTCTTCTTTTTTTTTTTTTTTTTTTTTTTTTTTTACTTTGTTTTGTTTGAGACAGGACTTCTTTGTTTGTAGCTTTGGAGCCTGTCCTGGGACTTGCTCTGTAGACCGGACTGGCCCCAGACTCACAGAGATCTGCCTGTCTCTCCCTCCCAAAGGTGTGTGCCAGTATCACCTGGCCCAGAACAAGGCCCGATGATAACAAGGCTGCTCAGACCTAACAGTAACTGGGCTGCATGGCATCACCCTGGGATAAGAGTAATATGCACTCAGATGCAGTATCTCGCCATTTCTGCTACTAACTGCCAGTTACTGTCACCATGCAGTAGTCAGCTGTCTCTCACCCTCATGCCATGGTCAGTGCAAAGGGAAAACTTGTTTAAGTGGAAAATAAAACACATTTACATCAAGAATTCTGTGAGTCTGTTACAGAAGGGGAGAATCCCAAAATAGAGACTTGAGCCAGATAGGGAAGGACAGGATATTCCCCGGGAGATAAACCTGGGCTGGATGCTTGTGCTTTCTCAACCCCAAGCCCCAGATATCCCAGTACTACAGCTTCCTTTCCCAGAGGTGCATAGGTTGCCAGGAAAAATGAGGTTTCTGCAGTTGGGCACTGGGGCATTGGTTGAGCATGCCATTGTTGGGAGCACCGTGTCTCAGAAGACAACAAGTACCAACCATACTCAGGTGGTGGCACAGACCAATCAATCACTCTTACACTCGCACTATGTCCTGGTTACCTAGAGGTGCGGGCTTTCCCTACTAGTCTCATCTACTACGTACACTATATGGCACGACTGCCCTCTGCTGGTCGTGGAGAAAAGCCAACCTCTCTTAATTAGTGCTTCCTAGTGCTACGGCCCTTTAATACAATTCCTCATGCTGTGCTGATGGCCCCCAACCATAAAACTCTTTTCTATTACTACTTCCTAACTGTACTTTGCTACTGTCATGAACCGTAATGTAAATATCTCTGATTTCTGATGGTCTTAGGTGACCCCTGTGAAAGGGTCATTTGACACATGCCCCCAGGCATTGCAACCTATGGGTTGAGAACCACTGCTCTACCCTTAATCCCAGAATTTGATTTAAGGGAAGTGGCCAGGGCAAATACTATAGAGTCTCTACCAGAGAAAACTCTGTAACAAGTATTCATATCAAAGACAAGCATGTGTCCCATAAACAGGCTCAGGTCAGGTTTTAGAATGTCTTGGGAAAACAGTTTTCTCTGTAACTCCATGAAAATGTGTCTCTTTGCCTTAAATATTGCATTTACCTTGCCTTCCTTCCCCCAAAGAAAATCAGACAAATCGATCAGAACTGGATCTGTTATTCATACATTTGCATTGATTTAAATACAATACATACAATTTCTACAGTGCATTAGAAGAACCGAGCGCTCACCAACCAGCTTCCACTTCCAGACATGGGGACAAGCTGGTAGAAGGACGGCTGCTCTGGAAGTGCCTGACACTGTGGGCTCTTGGCACTCCCAAAGTCCACATTCAAGGCACCCTGAGTACAGGTTTCAAGCGAGAGAGAGGGGCAGGGAGGGGCACCTGCACCCTTGCCCATCAGGCCTGGCACCGGCTCCCTCCTACATTGGACCCAATTTCCTCCTGATGGCAGAGCTGATCTGGAGTATGACAGTGCACATCGGGCTCTCTCCATCACCCCAGTGGGGTCTCACCAACAGGCTGGTGTGAAGATGTCTGTGAATTATGTCACGTACCTGGACCCCTGCAGGCTCCTGTGATCAGGAGGCAGGAGTTCTCCCAAACATGGTTCTGAGGCCAGAGTCCACATGGGCTGGCTGGGATTGTCAGGATGGGGAAACAACAGTGCCTTTGTCTGCAGGGCATGCGTATCCAGTGCTCAGAGATTCATGGTGGCTAAGTGGAAGCTGATAGCAAGCTGGCTCCTAGATTGGACTGGATGTGGAGCAGCCTGCTCCAGCTGATGGGAGAACAGTGTGCCCTGCATGGCGGGGAGCCAGGCAGTGAGACACACAGCTGTGGTCCTCATTCTCTTTCTTTGGTTTTTTTTCAAGCCTTCAAGACAATTTCTTTCCAAGGCTGACTGACCAATTGTAGAATGTGAGAACGCTCAGAGGCCCACAGGACGGGGTATCAACACTGCTGCCTCTCAGCCACAAGTGGTCCTCTTCTGACTCCCTCCCGAAGCCAATTCTTTGCTTTGGTGTAGAAAGGGTTCAAACACCTGGCAAGGGAGGAGACACACGGAAGCAGAAAGATGCACGTTGAGCTGGGCAGGCACTGGGGGGACCGTTTGAAGGCCTCTCTTCAGGAAGCTGAGGAGAAAGCAGCCCATGACAAAAAGGCAGGAAGCTGTGGGGCTCTGCCCGTTAGGAGGCAGAGCACAGGTCCAGTTGCTTTCCAGGCAGCAGCGGTAACAGGAAGGAGGAGGACACTGTCCTGGCCGCTCATGAACGGACTGACCCACACCCATAGAGCCACTCCAAAACCCAAAACAAACCCCTTAGTTAAAAGCTGGGAAAACAACAGAAAGCAGGAAAGGATGGAGACTAAGGAAGGACCCAGGGGAGAGGCCGTGCCAGGTTCCCCATGGAACGCTCTTCCTAGCACCCAGCATGCACTTAGGCTATGTCAATCACCTCCACATGCTCCTAGCAGAACAGAACTGCCAAGGCTAGCCTCTTCCACTTCAGCTGAGTGCTAGGCAAGCAGCATCAGGGCAGAGAACAGAAAGATTATGTGCAGAGCCTCTGACAGGTACAGAACAAAAGCCTGCTCACTGCCACAAGAAGCCAGTACCAGTGTGGCAGGGGGAGGATCAACTTGGCAAAAACAGAAAGGAGGTGTGGCTTCTGTCTGTGGGCCAGCAATGGTCTTCAGACACAGCTCGTCCATGGGAGTAAACACCTGCTAGGCATCAGAGCATGTCTAAGCAAACTTAAGTCTAGATTAAGGGCTTCTGACTGGAGAGGATCTAATCTGGGTTTTCCTATAAGCATTTAAGTTTGTTACTGTTGTTTGTTTCTTTCTGATGCAGAATATAACAGGGGACTGGGATGGAGAGGGCTGTCAGGGAGATGGGACTTTCCCAACCTGCCACATGCTGGGAGGGGGTTGCTCCTCCTCAGCCACCTGGACTCCTTGCCTGGACGCCAGCCTCCCCAACACTGTGAAGGGTCCAGGAGTACACTTGTCTCTGACTGTGCTTGTCCCTGTGGGTGGGAAGGCCCTGAGGGAGGCAGCAAGCAGAGAGGAAGGGCCCTGAAAGGCTCTGCAGTGCACCAGCTTGTCTCCAGGCTTGCTCTCAGCCCGTCACCTGCAGGCTTTCTTCTGCCTGCCGCTAGGGCTACCACCATGAAAAGAAGGGTTTCCGACTCTGAAAGCTCTGTGTGTAGGATTCACTTGCAGACCGCTGATGGGAACGGGCCGTCTCCACAATCACAGGTGGCATCTGGACGAGGTGCAGGGGACTCTTATTGTCTTTTAGGGCCTGGGTCAAATTTAGGATCTGTATTGAAAAAACAAAATGGGAGAGAGAAAGGCCTAATATTCTAAGCCGGCCTCTACAGAGAGCACCCTCTTTCAAGTCACAATAAATACCAATGGAAATAACATAGCTAAGTAGGGATAAGGGGTTGGAGAGGTAGCTTGGTGGCTCACAGTACCTGTAACTCCAGCTGTCTTCTGGACTATGAAGGCACCATACTCACAGGGGCAAACGCAGATATAGACACGTAATTTAAATGAAAATTTAAAAACTGGGGCTAGAGAAATGGCTCATACTTAAAAGGCACTGGCTGCCCTTCCATAGGACCTGGGTTTTCAATTCTCAGCAGCCACATGGTGGCTCATAACCATCTGTGATCCCAGTTCCAGGGGATCTAACACCTGCTCCCCAGCCTTTATAGACACCAGTCACACTAGTGGGGTGCAGATATACATACAAGCAAAACACCCATACAGTAAAACTAAAACAATCCTTTAAAAATTAAAAGAATGTAGGTATACAAATGGGCAATACATGGGCAGTGTATACAACCTCACCAACCATTTTTTAAAGCACTGTGTTTGCCTGTAGTTCCAACTTCAGAAGGGAAGGGAAGACAGGAAGGTTACTTGAGGCCCAGGAATCAGAGACCCAATTGGTGAGACCCTTCCTTAACTAAGGCCATAAAACAGAAAATATGACCCAGAAGGTAGGGAGTTCAAAGAAACAGGGCTGCATGGATGTGGGACTGGAATGTGGAATAATTACATGGGTAAACTGAAAATAAAGCTCTCTTTGGCCCCGAGACCCCCTCCCCTTTATAATCAATTTGTGATGCTGGGGACAAAACCTGAACTTCATATACCCAGGCAGGTGTTCTTCAGATAAGCCTTTCCTACCTTAGCCTCACAAAGGTCAAGTCTCAACATGTCTGGCCTTGTCATTTTGAAGGGTAGGTAAATTGGCTGAGTGTGTATGACTAAGCAAACCAATGATTATGAGCCAGGAGGCCAGGACACAGCCCATCAACAGATCCAAAAAGTTTCAAAACAAGTGACACAAGGTCAGATTACTTTTCTAGGTTCCTTGCAAGTTTCTTTCTCCACTGTCCTTTGCCAGAACACTGTGGGTATGCAATCAAATGTAACTCTTATGTTCAAACCAATGCTTCCTTTGCTTATATTATATTACAGCCTGCTGCTTTTCTCTGCCATCAGTTTTGAAATGCAAACGTTGTTCCAAAGACATTAAGAAGACAAGGTAGAAGGATAAAATTTCACCTGCCATTCTCCCCTACCGTTTGCTACCCTAGATGATAACCTTAACTGGGTGTAATGTGAAGGCTGCTACAGTGTTGTCAAGGGACTGAGACGAGAAAGGGTTGGAGAAGATGGTATGAAATGGATGAGGTACCACCTATATTATCTTAGGAAGCAAGCCAGTTTGTTTCTGTTGAGGCCTGTAATACCAGAGTCTACAATATAGCTTTCAAAG